CTCAAGATCCCTAGGTTCTGTAGCTGGCATGGAGGGTGGGGTATTTATGGCAGGGGAGCAGACATCTGGACTCCTGGGTTCTCTCCCAGATTGGGTGGATCTAGCAGCCCGAGCAAGGGACTGGACGTCAGGACTTCTGGGTTCTCTCCCAGCTCCCAAGTGTGGCCTTGACTCAGTTTCCACTTCTGTCAAACTGGGTTCACGAGACCTACCTCTGTACCAAGCCTCACTTCCTTCTGACCTGTGGATGGATGGTGTTGTGTAAATGCAAAACGGTATAGTGGGGACGCTTTAGCAGGGTGATGCTTAGAACTGTGTCCTGTGCTGCCCCCACCCCCACCCCCAAACCCCAGCAGGTGGTGTTCGCTTTTTAAATGGTTTACATAATAATAAAATAGATGTTTCTAGTAATTTCTCAAACCATTTTTGTGCAGATTATCCCCCAAACTAAAAAGGCATCGGCTTCCGTATACCAACTCCCTCCCCTGGTTGGCCTCATCTTATTTTTTCCAGTGATCCACCCTTAGTTATCTGCATTACAGCAGCACCTTACTACCTAAAAGGCCTCGGATACTTAGCCAAAATCTCCTCTGCCTGTGATATACAGCAAGCTGCTGATGCTCCCCACCCCAGAGGTGGCTGCATTTCACTAGTGCTGTGTGTGTAGAGTGGTGAGGCCATTCAAAACAAAAGAGACTGGAGAGAGGTAAACCCGTGTTGTATATTGTATTGTATTATATTACATTTATTAATGCAAATAGACACACCCAAAATACACAGACACACGGCACTGGTGGGACCACAGCTGGAATTCTGTGTCCAGTTCCGATGTTCAGAATTCAAGAAGGATGTTGATAAATTGCAGAGGGGTCAGAGAAGAGCCAGGATTGGAAAACCTGCCTTATAGTGAGCAACTCAATGAGCTCGATCTGTTTAGCTTCACAAAGAGAAAGTTAAGGGGTTATTTGATCACTGTCTATAAGTATCTATATGGGGGACAGAAATTTGATGATAACGGGCTCTTCAGTCCAGCCAACAAAGGTCTAACCAGATCCAATGGCCAGGGCCACCCAGTGGATTCAGGGGGCCTGGGGTCTTCAGCGGCGGGGGGCCCCCGCCGCCAAATTGCTGCCAAAGACCTGGCACTTCAGCGGCGGGTCCCGGAGTGCAAGGACCGCCCGCCACTGAATTGCCGCCGAAGACCCAGAGCGGAAGAAGCTCCGGGGGCCCAGCCCCGTAAGAGTTTTCCGGGGCCCCCAGAGTGAGTGAAGGACCCCGCTCCAGGAGCCCCGAAAAACTCTCGTGGGGGCCCCTGCGGGGCCTGGAGTAAATTGCCCCACTTGCCCCCGGACAGCCCTGCCAATGGCTGCAAGTTGAAGCGAGCCCAATTCAGTCTAGAAATAAGATGCACATTTTTAATGAACCCTTGGAACAATTTACCAAGGGGGCTGGTGGATTCACCTGGCAATTTTTAAATAGAGATTGGATCTTTTTTCTAAAAGACCTGCTCTATTTCAAACAGGAATGTATTCAGGGCAGTTCTCCGGCTTGTGCGATGCAGGAGGTGACACTAGATGACTCCAGTGGCAGGGAACTGCGGCCAATGGGAGCTGCAGGGGCGGCGCCTGTGGACGGGGCAGTGCGCAGAGCCGCCTGGCTGCACCTCCGCATAGGATCCGGAGCGGGGACATACCGCTGCTTCCAGGAACTGCTTGAGGTAAGCGCCGTCCGGAGCCTGACCCCCTCCCGCACCCCAACCCCCTGCCCCAGCCCAGAGACTCCTCCCACTCCCTGAATTCCTCATTTCTGGCCCCACCCCAGAACCTGCACCCCCAGCCAGAGCCCTCCTGCACCCCAACCCCAATTTCGTGAGCATTCATGGCCCGCCATACAATTTCCATACACAGATGCGGCCCTCGGGCCAAAAGATTTGCCCACCCCTGATCTAGGAATAGAGAATCCAAGATTTTCTAACAAGACCCAGAATTATGGGGGTCTCTATTACTGGATTATGCTTGAGACTCTTTAAAGAGATCGGAGCCCCTGAACGTCCAGATCCTTTCAGGGGGTCTCCGCTTGGGCAGCCCCAGTATTGCGGCACCCAAAACCACTCGTCACTTGTGAACGCCATGGCCCGTATATGCTCATTCATGTACACGTGCACACCTAATAAACTCAAACTAGAATATCTACGGGGGTGCTCTGTGTTGTATGATCTGATCTTATATGGTGCAGTATTTCCTTATATGGACCATCTACACTGGTGTCTCAGGAAGTGGTCCTTAGAAGAACACCACAAGCAGTGCTGGTAGCAAGCAGGGGTCTCTATTTTTCTGTCCAGCTTTGTATTTATTTGTATCAGTTGGTCTGAGCCTGTCATTGTCTGTGGCACTGAACCTCCCTGCCTGCGTCTCTCCCGGGGCTGGGAGTTTGCTCCCAGCCCCTAAATCTGACATCATTATTTGTCAGGGAAGGAGGGCGGGCTGGAGAGGAGGTTTTTGTTGGTAAAGAAAAGATTTGAATCAGAGCTCAAGATTCATTAAAGGGAGAAATCCAGGAAAAGCAGCTGAAATCCAGCTTGGAAAAGGGGTGGGGAAAAAGGAGGAGAAAGAAATGAATCGATAATTTTTTTTTTTTTAAAACAACCACCAACAACCACCCAAGAATTTAAACTGGTCTCAACCTCTTCAAGGAAAGTTAATCAATAAACTAATTAACTGCTTTGCAAGCTCTGTAATTAATAGATCAAAAGTATTAGCGCCAGGGCTCTGAAATTGCAAAGAGCTCAGCCCAACAGCTCGCTTCCAAGAAGGCGGAATTGCAAGATTCTTTATAGTTGATTTTTTTTTATGATGATTATTTAATTTTTTTGCACCAAAAAAAATCAGGATTTTTCATTTTTTTTTAAAGGTTAAAAAAAATCAGAGACAACGAGGAGGCGACAGGGAGGAATTTGCCACCCACCCCAAAAAAACACATTTTTTTTACAGATTTGGGGAATCCTGGTTCAAGCATCCAAAGCCACCAACCAGCCTCTGCTCCCTTTGTTTGGTTCGCCGCTGGGCAGTGTTGGGACCGTAGTTAGGGCTGGGATTGTGTTCTCGCTTCTTCCGCTGGGGCCGGGTAGGCGATTCGAAGCTCGCCCCCAGATTCGCCCCTTTGGACCAATGAAGGAACCCGATGCCATTAAACTTTTCATCGGGCAGATCCCACGGAATTTGGAGGAGAAGGATCTGAAGCCCATCTTCGAGCAATTTGGGAAGATCTACGAGTTGACAGTGATTAAGGATAAATACACGGGCATGCACAAAGGTAAGTGAGCCAGGCCCGGGCTGCTAGAACAATAAAGGAGCTCCCAACAATGGGATGGGGGGGGGGAGAGAAAACTGACTGTGAAATGACGAAGCAAGAGCAGCCCGAGGAAAAAGGAGACTTGGGGATGTCGGGGGAGATCAGATCAGCTGTGGCCAGGAGGGCAGAGAAAGTGGGGGCCGTGTGAAATGGCCATGCATATTAAAATGTCAGGGCTTAGGGGGGTGGGGGCCAGGCTGTTTGCAGCGAGAGCGAGATGGTAACAGATGGCAGGAGGTACAATCAGATAAGAGGCGTCATGGATAGAGGCCGGGGGTTTGGATGTGCAGTGGGTTTAGGGAGTCGGGTTGGAGGGGGGGGAGGGACAGTTCTTCTCCACCCCACCCTGACTCCAGTGGGGTAGTTTTGCACGGGGGAGAGTCAGGCCCTGTGTGGGTGGGGGGGTTGTGACCCCATTTCCTTCTGCCCCTGGACACCTTTGAGTCTCCTTTTAGCACAGGGATTGAGTTATCATCTGAGTCCCAAACCCTGTGAATATTTGCCACGGGTGTAACTCTGGGCCCGGGGAAGCAGAGGGAAAACTTGCGAGGTTCTGATCCCAAATCCCCAGGCTGGGCTTTGACAGTTCCCTCCTGATTCCTTTCCTCCTGTATAAACAGAGGGTCTGGCCCCCCGCCCGCCCCCTTCTCGTGATCTTGCCAAATGGCATATCCTTCGCTCCTGCTAAAGGAGGCCTGTCTTCAGCCTGAGGCCTCTAGGTCAGAGCTAAATTTGTCTCTGCTGGTTCATTTCTTGTCTTCTTTTTTAAACACACTTCCCCGTATTAGGGAGGGAGCAAGTGGTCTTTAAAAAGCAGAAGGGGCAGCGTGTGAAATAGGTCCAGGGGCAAATTAAACAAGGGCTCTGGCCAATTTCTTAATTCAAAATAAAGTTAAGAACGGCATCGGTGAAAAATCTGCTCTGGGAATAGTCCTGAAAACAAAAGAGAAGGCAGGGCAGGGTTAGCTAAGGAGGCGATTCGCATAAGATCATTTTCTGGAATTTGATAACATTCCACTTTTTACAAGCCCGGAATGAAAGCAATTGCAGAAACCCGGCTTTGTTGGAGGGTATTTGGAGCTGGATTCAGCCCTAGGGATGGAGGCTGGCTGGCAAAGGTTAGTCACAGTATAATGTTGGATCGTTTGCTGTCTCAGGGCAGATTTCAAGCAGTGACAAAAAGAGAGGGGATCAAAGTGTAGGAAAACGGGGTTTATTTTACCCCTTTGTAAATCAAGTACATTGGCTGATATTTTTGTAAACTGAGGCGAGAAAGATCCAGCGCGGGTATAAATCAGGGTAGCCCCGCTGACTTCACCAGATGCTATGCCCCTTCAGCTCCGCTGAGAATCTGGCCCTTAGCATATTTTTATAGCTGGTACATGTGGAAAACATCAACAATAACAACCAGGCTTTGACTTCAGAGCCAGCGCTTGGGTCTTCTTATTGCTCTATGGGTTTAAAACTTCGGTTCTAACCCCGAGAGTGAGCGTGGTTATAGGACTGGAAGGCAGGAAGGTTTGAACGTTACAAACAAACCACAGATAAACAATCGCTCGGATTTTCACTAAACCAAGCGGGTCCCCTTAGGTGCGACTAATTATTTTATCAAATACAAATGCAAATGATTTACATGCAAGCCGCAAAACAGAGAATGCTCCAGGACAAGAGTTTTGTGCTTTAAAAACCAGCCAAACCTCCTTACATAACAATGATGTTTAAATTATTAAAGGTGTGAAAGAAGCTTCCATTTCCAGGCAGTCCCAGCGGGGGAAGATGTAGCAGGGTGGAACTGGGCTAATGTGACACAAACTCAGCGTTGGTTGTTTTCCCTGGCTCGCCAGCGCAAGTGAAACTCGGGGGGGGCTGAGATACACCATTGGGGTTGGCGAAGCTGACAAATTCAGGGAATCAAAATGGAGCGTCTTTGGGAGGAGAGGGAGCCAATGCGAATATGAAGAGTTTCTGACTCCAATCACCGGCACCCTGTGGACTAGATCAGTGGTACTCAGAGCTGTTCCAGGGGGGGACATCAACTCATCTAGACATTTGCCTAATTTTACACCAGGCGACATAATAAGCCCTAGCCAAGTCAGTACCAACTAAAATTTCATACAGACAGTGGCTTGTTTATACTGCTCTGTATTCTCGACCCGGAAATGTAAGTACCATATTTATATTCCAATTGCTTTATTTTAGAATTCTCTGGTACAAAGGAGAAAGTCAGCCATTGTTGGGTAATAGTGGGGCTGTGACACGCCTGTATTTTTAGGCCTGGTTTTGTAAGCAAGTCATTTTTAAGTGAGGTGAAACTTGGGGGTACGTGAGACAAATCAGACCCCGGAAAGGGGTACAGTCATCTGCAAAGGTTGAGCGCCACTGGACTAGACCCTTCTTTATTTCTGTAGCAATGACCGCGCTAGGTGCTTTGGGATGAAAGCAAAGTCCATGTCTCCACAGAGTTTACGTCAGCTAAGGGCCCAGTCCGGCAGCTAACTAGGTGTAGCACTTCCTGAGATGCCCAGGGGCTAGCCAGCACTGCACCTGCTAGTCAAGAGTTTGCAGGATCAAAATAATTATAGTCCGGGCGGTTGGGAAGCTTTGCTGTAACCCCAGCTGCTGGGCTGGGCTGGGGTTTTATTGTCCACGTACATTGAAATGGCCGGGGAAGGGAAGAGAGAAATCCGGCTTTCCAGCGGCAGTGGAATCTGAATGCAAAAGATCCGGGTGGCCCAGCTGAAGCGGTTTTGAGGCTGAACTATAAATGCGTTTGATTATTATTTTTTTAACGACCGTTTTTTGGTACCGCTCCCGCTCCGAATTTAGGGCCAAAAACCCAAGTGGGGGAAACTCAGTTTCTCAAAAGGGGACTTTAAAAAAAACCAGGGAATGATTTTAACCTCCATAAATGCTCATCTCTTCAGAGGACGGAGGGGGGAGGGGCGGCTGGTCAGGCCAAGGGCTGCAAATTGAGTGGATATAACTTGTCATCGTTAAGGGCTTGACCCAAATGCATGCGTAGGCCCCAGGCCTTGGCATCCTTATACTCCCATTGACTTCGGTGGGTTTTGGCTTGGATACTATTGGCCGGATTACAGGGCAGATTTCCAGTTGCCCAGTACCCACTGCTGGCACCAGCTTTGCCAAAGGGCTCAGACCCTGACACACTGAGCCGGGCACTGAGGGTTCAATCCTGTGCCATGCTGAACACCCTGACTTCAGGGAGAGCTGAGAGTGCTCAGCATCCACGCTGGATTGGGCCCCGGGTGGAGCGTAGGATAAACCCGGATTCATGCTCTTGGCCTCTACCAGAGCAGGGCCCTGGGATTCGGCTGCCGTTGCTGCTGGGAGGAAGTTAGCTCGGGAGCTAAGGCAGCAGGGACCCTCCTTGGCTAGGCCCTGGCAGATCTGCCCTGGGCAGCCCCTGGCTGAAGATACTGTTGTGTGCTGGGGCGTCCAGAGTCCTGTACAGGGCCAGGCTGGGGTCGTTACTGCGGGATAACGAAGTGCGAAGCCCCCTTCCCCTGAACAATCAAACCTGAGTAGAGAGGGTTTTACCCTCTGCTTGGTCCCACTTGTCAAACCAGGGGCCTGGCCCTTTCCCCTTGGCACGGAGCCATGCCACGGGGCAAGCTCTCCCAGGCCCACACCTCTGGGGGCTCCCATGTAGGAAGGTGAGGTGGGCTCTGCACCATCTGGCCAGGGCAGGATCGGGTCCATCCCCCCCCCCCAGAGTTCTGTCTCCACGAGGGGCAACGCTGACCAGCAGCCTGGGAGGTGGTCACCGCCCCTTCCCCGTGCAACCCCTTAATGACCTTCCCCAGAGCAGGACGCACCCAGCCACGGGGCCCAGTCACAGAGCTGGTGGCTCCGTGGCACTGCGTGCTCACCGCTGGGCCTGCCCAAGCCCCTGGCTCGACTAGGGCCCAGGTCTTGGGCCAGGCCTGGTGCCCAGGGGTGGATTTCTCTTGTTTCTGTGTACCCTGGCCCCAGGGGGGCGGAGGGGCTGGCAGACCCCGGAACCCAGCTCTGGAATCAGGGGCGGGACGGCCTGCCCTGGCTGGGATCTGGGTGTAAATGGCTCAGCGGGTGTTCCGCGCGTTCCCGCTCAGGATAAGAGTCTGCTATCGCGACCCGCCAGGGAGCTTCTTTCTGCTCCAGCAGTGGAGGCGGGGCCCCACTGGTGCTGGCGGCCTCTGGGTCCAGCTCCCCCGCCGTGGTGACCCCTAGGCGACTCGCCCTGTCCCGAGAAGGTTTCTAGTGGGTTGTTAGCAAGACAGGGGGAGGCTTCTGTTGTCCCTGGACTGGGACACCTCCCTGGGCTAGCCGGTGCAGGAGGGGGGCAGCAGTCCTGGGGCATTAGGGGCTAAGGCAGCAGCGCTGGGATGCAGGAGGTCTGGCTGCAATGTCTGGCTCTGCCTCCTTGGCCAAGGAACGGGCTCCTCCGGGAGCCACCCACCGATCTCAGAGGGGTGACTTGGGATGCAGGTGTGAGTCGGGGGATTAGGATCCGGCCCGTACTCACCCTGTGCCTCGGTTTCCCCATCTGTGCAAGGGGGATACGGCTTCCCTCTAAGGGGGCGGGTGTAAGACTGGATCCAGGGCGGGCTGGGAAGGGCTCAGGGGAGGGGAGACTGGGGATCAGATGGCTACAGCTACAAGCAGGGGATTGGAGCAACACACGCGCACCCCGGAGCAGGTGAGACTGGTGCACGGGCAGGTTCGGCTCCCCAGCTGGTGTGAACGGGAGTGCAAGGCGATAAGCGGGCAGTGCTGGGGATTGGGCCCCGCCGTGTGCCCGGCTTCCATCAGGAGCGGCTGTAAGAGAACCGACTCCTATGGCTGCTGGCAATGGGGCACCTCCGGGAGGGCCAGCTGGAGCCAAACTGCTTTTCCACCTCACTGCTCTCCGCAGCGCTCTTGCTGGCAGGGAGCGATGGTTAGTCTCCGGACTCTAGCTA